GAGCGCTAGACACCAGTCACATTTTCTGGACTCGTAGAAGTGCAATGCAATATTTCAGCGCGATTAGATATGAGATCACGGTAGTCAATGGCAGCACCCAGCATGAGAAAGTAGTAGACGGTGCTACAACAAACATACTTCCAAAGATCAGACGGATTTACGGATACAAAACATGTGTGCTTTTTTTGGAACCTTTTCTGATAGGCAAAAGATATCTCAAACGCTGCGCATTATCATCGTAACGTCCTTTTATCAACGGCTGACTGAAATCGTAAGCGACTTTGTGCATTTGGAGATACAGTTTGCCTTATATAAACTTAAACAAATTTCACGGTCCGCACTTCTCCGACTCCGGTTGATCTTGTATTGTAATTTTATGCCGAGGCAATAAAGCACACCCTTGACGAAGTTTTCAAGAGCGACTTCACAGACATTACCTGAAAGGCGGTAAGTCCAGCCAACAAAGGCGGAAGTCTGCGAGCCTTCAGCCAACTCTCTCCATCTTTGATCTATGAAGAAATTTGTCCAGGTCTGAAAAGGGTCAGATATGAAGCTGTGAACACACTAAGGTCACGGATAGATTACAATGTTTTTCAGGGTAACGCAGAACAACATACTTTTGCTGTTTACGGATGTGAAGTTCGAATAAGGGACATCAGGTCTCGACTCGATTCTTCGCAAGCTCAAGCTAATCGCCATTATGAGACCCTTTCAAATTGCCGCTGGTGTCGCCGTGATGAAGAGTGACGGCTTACATACTTTTAGTAAGGTAGTAGGACACGCAAAACCGAAAGCTTGTAATTATTTGGAAGGCACTGTGCAGAATAGTTCAACGCTTGAATCGAGTGTTTTGTCATTAGGGGGCGCAAAGGGGCCGGGTGGTGTGACTATCTACAATCCTTTGTATGGGACGCAATTATCTCATGTTCACTAAGTCTCTCCTACGTGCATTACAAAATCTCCGCCATAAGAGAACGAACTTTGATCATTGGGAGTCTGTACAGGAAGTACGGGACCTATTTTGCTTTCAGTGGGACATTAATAATGGCACGGTAGTTGGATACCAACTTTACATAGCATAATTTTCACGTATTGCTAAACTGAAATAGATAACTTATATTAATTACTGTAAACAATGTTTAATATTACCATTAGTATTACGAAGCGACTTCGTGGCTTCATGTTAGATCGTATACAGATTTGTATTGAATATTACGCACAACATATTTTTAACTATAACATCTTCTATCATATCTTGTCATAAGTATTATATCTTATGAAAAGAGCGAAATACGCAAACATCTAATTCATTGATAGGCTGACGGTTTCATTTTTCCGAATAAAGATAATAACTTCCACAATTCCGCCTCACTCAGCTTTGAAGAGGAAACTTTCTTTGAAGGCACTATGGAAGCACGAGATAGATGCTGAAAAGGTGGCTGATGGTAACGAGAACAAAGTGCAACCTCATAAGTACAGGTTACTTTTCCCAAAGAAAGGAAAAAACCCACAATGATTCCTTGAGTCTCACCTTCTCCTTCATAGATACGCCAGTTAAACGCGTTGGCCTAATGGCTATTCTGAAGAAAATAGGTCCTTCGCGATGGCATATTGGGGGCGGACATTTTGTTTATTTATATGTTCGTTTTGAAGGTCGACCACACATCGAGCATCATCATGATGCAGATCATTTTTGAACTACTAATGAGCATAACTGAGCTTCTTCGATACGAGCAGGAACACGTAAAACCCAAAAAAAAAGGTAGTAAATTATGTCAGTCGGACATCATCTTCCATAAAGTCTCAAAGAAAGATGGCGATAAGCCGGATAACTTTAAATTAAAAGTTCCTGCATACGTTTTCCTTGGTTTAAAGCAAACGAAAGGCCATCCTCGAAACAAGCACAAGGCTGTTTCACAGGAACAGTTATAAAGGACAGGGACGCAACAGTGACAACCTTATACATTTCTACCTGTCGAAGTTGATTTTTTTTAAATCTAAGATTGAAGTAATTGATAATACTAAAAGTAAAATGGATTTATAGTTTGCGTACCTATCACATGTCTGACGCCATTGAAAACAGCTCAAAGATTACAGCCAACTTTATGAAGGAAGCAAACGAGACCGGGCTGACACCTAACAGCAGATCTAGCAGTCGACTTATTACGATAATACCCAATGTCGGAATTATAATTTAAAAAGATATTCTAGATTCCTCCGTCAAGCAAATCGGGAACAGAGATGGACGATCTCCCACGAGGTGACCTTGATCCCATTCAGGTCAACTGAGCTCGGCTTGGTTTATACCAGTGAGAAACGTGGGGCTAAGTTTATCTGGGCCGATCAGACATTGGCCTAAAGCCTTTGCATGCGGCCGCGGTCGTTTGCCACCGGACAGCTTCATAGCTCCAGACAAGTCAAACACGCGTTTATTTATAGCACACGCAGCTTTTGAGTATACGGAATGTAGGCGAGTTTTAAGTATATCTAAATTTGTTTACGCTACTAAGATTCTAATGAAATTTTTTCCAGAACTACTTTTAAGTAAACTGGTTAAGAAATGGTTGGCCAGATTAATTCGCATTTGTTTGTTTACGGTTCAAATGTCTATGATTTAATGTGGATTAACCAGCATCGAATCAATTTGTCCTAATTTTTAGGAACAGATAATTTCTACATACGTTCCTATTCGCGGAAGCGCACTGTTGACAGTAATTGCAACACGCTTACGTATGTAAATAGCTAACCTAAGCATTTGTCGTGTGAACGTTTTCGACCACATGGAGCACTAAAGGGTAATATGTCATTACTTTTCAGCGAACGCCGTTTACAGAAAATATTTGTCATGCTTTATGACCGTATGATGCCGCCAATGACTAGCATGGATGTTTCCAGAAGTATCTACATACAAGTTGAAAAGACGACCTACGGGGAAAGCAAAAGGTAGAACACACGTTGATATTCAGGTACAATGAAGTAGATAAGGAAAGTGCAAGGCTTCGGAAAAATAGGTCTGGTAGGACTTTGACGCCGTTGAATAGCAATGGAAACATCCAAATAACGTCTCCCTTTAGGCGGAAAAGCGTGCCGTGGTGCGCTGAAACGGGTCCTGAAGTACAGTTAAACTAACGGCGCCAAGGATCGTACCTTCTTCCCTCTAGGACGACAAAGAAGTCGGTTGTGCATAATGCATTTTGTTTCGCTGTAATGGAAAAGATGTTCGCGTAAACATGTAGACCATGTTTACCCTATTCTTTTGGAAGGATTATAATACGTATAGTCTATTTGTTTGGTGTATCGGTGGAAAGGTGATCATCAGTAAGCCTTTTTCCGCGATTTCTCGCTTTTGGTAACTCGCTGGAGAGTTGACGCTTATCTACATAACGCTTATTCTCACTTACATTATTTCAGTAATACGTATGTTGGACATTAAATGTCGATATCTCTATAATAATTATTGATATTATTTATTGACTGATCCACAGTGTACGACTACAGAAAGCAAGGTATTTTTTTTTGTAAACTAAAAACGTATTTTAAATCAGTTGAAGAAAATATAACTGCTTGAACTAAAAAGAAAATGATCAACCAAAACAAAAATAAACGATTACATATTTATGTGATCAAGCAAAAAGTCTGCGTTCCACAACGTACGTTCTTCTTCTTGGGGGTTACGATAAGTAAGTTGGTTTAACTTAGCAGATTGAATGATGATTTTATGCGTAACATTTATGCTATAATATTGTCGAATTGTTTTTTCCCAGGTGGTTGTTCATACATAGGCGCCTAGGTTTGTTAGAGTAAAAGCGGTAGAGTTTCGTTTGAAGCTTAATGTTATTGCAGAAAAAAATACTGGCTATACCTCCCAAAAAATGTTCCCCATGAGCCTAATTCTATATATTGCCAAATTTCACCCATATTTATTTTCCACATTCATCAAACGTTGTATTCGTTATTTTGTAAATATCCTTTAGTGTTTAGCTGCTGCTCATTGCAATTTGTAAAAGCAAAGCACTAATGAATAATGAAAAAAGAAATGTAGAACGTTCGAGGAGTAGAAAGTTTCGAGGGAAATTTCAAGTGATTCAGTTCTAACAGTATCTTCATATACGATTAGAGCATAACTTACTGCCGATGCAGTCTATCTAAGTTTATGTTCTTAAATAGAATAGAGTGACATATGAAACAGACTTTTAGTATAGTGAGTTATTATGCAGATTTTCTTTTAGGTGCTAAGGAACGCTAGCTAGATATAGGGGCTCATCACGATCGGAGGGCTGCCAGCTATAATCCGATTTCTGTTTCTCCCTGTCTCGCTCTTTCTCAGAGTCTAGCCCCAAGGTACTGACTGACATCCGTGTAACATAGCTACATCCACCTATCAGGTGTTCCTGATTCTTACTTATGAAAACAACACTTCGTTATATCATAATGTTTTACACGCCAATCCTGGATCCATGACCGTATAGACATATGAGTACATGCATCCTAATTTGTCGAATTTAGTTAGCTTACTCTAATCTCTGCATTGTCCTCGTCACGCTCGGGATAATTAAGCTATTGTATAGGCAAAGCCGTGCGACCGTGAGGAACAGCACGTATGGTGTTCGTGGCCCCGTACTTCACGACACTGGTAGAAAATTGTGTCTTGGCAAAAGTTCCTACCAATGCTAATGATGCGCTCTTGTAGCCGTCTGGGCAGCTTCTTCCCGAGTTCAGCCTCGGAAGGACCGCTGTGTATGGGATCTGGTTGAGCCCAACATATAATCGAACTATTAGCAATGTTCTGCTTTGGTCTTAAGTGTCGCCTCGCTTATTACAAAGTGTACTGATCGGACCCCACTATATGCAATAATGCCACTCATGTTCCCATAACAGAACAATCAACGAAAGCAAGTTCCTTTCTGTGACAACATCGACCAATTGTGACACGCCACAAAAAGCCTACCTAGGTTGACTCGTACCACATATTCCCAGAACAGAGTGATATCACTGAAACATACCTCCTGTGATAAGGTAGCCGAGATTTTCATAGGCCAAGTGAGGAACACGGTCGTTATCAGCTCGGCAGATTAGCGTGTAAATCCTACGATTGGTTTACTGATCCTTTACTTGGCTCAGATCTGAATTCAGTCATTATGGCAAACAACTATTGGGCATCACCAAAGTGTTATCGCAGGAATCCATCATTGTTCGTTCATGAAATTGCAACGATGACGCATCTTCACTACAAATGTCGATTTTAAATAAATTGACATCGTAAATAAACGCGCGCTCATTTTATTGATAGAATCGAACGGGTACAAAATGTACGAGTTAGGATATAGGGATTTAAAATAAGAAAGAATGGTCGATTTTTTCCTCTCGTAAAGGTGCAATTTTTGTTACGTTTTTCTTTTTATTATTGGCACATTCTCGTTGTGAATACTTAATAAATAACTAACTTAACCTATTAATAGACTACATATCGAACAGGCCAAATTATAATGGACAGTACTTTTTTTTTTTTTTCGACGAGCGTATCAGGTCGATTAGTCCCTAATTACCACTGATTGTCCCATTAGGAAAGTCCGGAAAGCCGAATGCCATTGGATTGATCTGGAATTTTTAATGCCATTTGACTTTTTACTAAAACAATTGCTTAACACATTTGGTCGCGCGCCGAAAAATACGGACCACATGTATATATGTTTTTGTTTCGTCTATACGCATGCTTACCATTGCGACCTTATCATATTGCACCTCCCTCGAGCGGTAGTCGGCACAAGTTACGGTTATACTTTATATATCATTTAATTCACTGCTTGTCTCGTCGGATATATCCGACTATACGTTAGCTGTTTGAAAGCACTCATAACTGAATATCGATACCTCAAATGAAAATCGAAGAGTTGAGTATAACACCATAGGTTTCGCCGACCAATAATGTCCTGTCCTATTTCAATAGCTATAGTAGTATTCATAATTTTTTTTTCAGACGATTACTAATTTTCATAAATGGTAATAAAATAGGTGTCATTTATGTCCTATCTATTTGAAGTCATAGATGAACCTAGCATTGGATTTAGTAAGCTCGGTTGGGTGACCGCATTGTCGATTACTGGTTCGCAACCAAGTTTCAATTTTTACCGATTAAATAAAACAGCCCATTAGTTATGAGCATATTTATTTGTACCTATATGATAGGGAACTATTTTATAGTTAGACCCGCATTTTTGACAACACACAAAAGATTCGGTTAAAAATTACAGCTTTTTTACACACCTGTAACGGCATCAATTCGAAAATCCTTTGTAAAGATTAGCTCACCGGTGTATCATTCACTAGACAGCCTAAAATGAACTTAACAGCCTAGTGAGAGTCCTTTCATTTTTGGTAAGTTCAGTGTTATCGTAGTAATATACATCATAGATGCCGATGCTGCCTCATTTCTACCAACGCCATTCGGAAATAACGCGGCATTTAAGCTGAGAATTTTTCGAGACGTTAAAAATTTATATATATGGCGACGCGATGGATGGGAACAAAGGGAATGATTATGTATACGCTGTCATAGCATTTTATATCATCATGTACTACTCTATTTTCAAATAATTAATCTGCTTACACATGTTTATATAAATAGGCTCCAATAACGTTTCTGACGATGTCCGTCCCCCTGCTCGTCATGTACTTTTTTTGACACACAGAATTAAATCCCAGCACAAGCCCGTTTGAGCATTTTACTTGCACTGGGTCGTTTAAGATGGTGCGTTCAAAAACTTTACTATCTCAACTTGTGTGCTAGGAAGTTCCTTGAAGGCGAAGACGTAGATGAGGTTTTTCGCCCGCTGTACACTTTATTCGATCATGCACTGAAAATTGCCAGGACTTCCTTACCGGCGTGATACATATTTAGTACCCAAAGAAAGCAGCTTTTAATGTACGAACTAGAAAAGGGCGCTTTGACCCAAAGAACCATGAACGAGATCAGAACGAGTCCAGAATCCGGGCAAAAACTTCTTTCGGACAGCAGCCAGAAATGCTACTTATAGCTAGCTAGGTTACGAGATAGACGTGATTCTCTTTCAATAAATCATACAAAAGTAACTTGAAGCTGAATTATATTATAACCTATCAAACTTGCAAGCCCTCGCTGTATCATAGCCATCAAGGATTGTGTATATGTATCAACTCATCACCAATTTTCTATTACGCTTTAAGGTAACGGCCAGCCGCGACAAGCTAACGAATAGAACCTAAACATTCTGCAGGCTAATTGGCAATAAAGCAATTTTTCGATATTTACATTTCATATTTGGGAGCTTAGTTAGTAAGTTGAGCTGTTGCCCAGCAGAACTATGTTGAATGAAAAAAAAAAAAAAAAGAAAAAAAAGGAATACAAGCCAGAATAGTTTCTTTTCAATCGTTCAGTGTAAAGTACTGTTTTACTCCAAATAAGTTAATTTCGAGTATAAATCAGGGAAAAGGCTTCACTAGTCACCGCGGTTATATCCATAGGACCTGAGTAATCCATTAACTTGGCATGTATCCCTCATTTTGGCAGCGCGTGTAACAGATTTTGCGCAAGCAGGCCTTATCTCGTTGCGCGATGTTTAACGCCAATAGCGACACTATCGTAATTGCTGCTCACTATCTGATGATGAAGGACTACGGTCGTCTGTCTGAATAAGTAGTACTGTATATCAGTTAATGTCGGGCGGCTTAGGACAAACAGAAAGCCTTGCATGCATACAATATAAATTTCGTTGTGCTTACAAGGCGCCATATTTAACATGCTCATCGAAGTGTTACCCATCAAATAACATTGTCTAGTAACTGAAATAACGCTAAGGGTATGTGATAACGAATACTTAAGGTGCACGGCCGCTAGTTAGAATTTTGATCATTAGAAAATTCATACGAAACGGATCAATTACTTCCTGCCATCATTTCTAAAGCTAGTGCACGTTTTCAATAATTTAACTCGCTTAGCCTTGCTATGTATTGGTTTATACCAAATTATCTTAAAGATAGTTCAATAATAAAGCGAAGAAAAATCAACGTTTTTGTACATATTCAGTTTTTGAAAAGTACCTTGTGGATTATTTCGATTAAGGTGGAAACGTCGGAATAATTTCGACTCCGAAAAGATAGCCTATGTTATCCCTACAAAAAAAAAAAGTCACAAAACGAATGACAGCATTTGTAGCAAGAGGGCAATTCATCCCACCATTAAGGCTAGCTCAGGCCAGTATTTGATATGCTGGAATCTGGGCAGATTCCCAACGACGTATCGACAATTTTATCCCGTATTCGTACCAGCAGGATTCTACATGCAACGTTTAGCACACTTTTCCTTCTCTCGATAAATACAATTTCTTAATGAAGACCTTTGGCTGATGATAGTGAGAAAGACGATATTGTGGTCATCATGAAATCGTACTTCAATACATAGAAATAGTACTACTGTATAGCTTACGTTCCTTATGGCTTAGGTCCGTGGTATCGACTGACCCCGTCTCCTTCGTTGTCGTCGGAAGGTTTCAAAGAAACTGTCAGGCAATTGGGCATTGATCGTTTCCGGCAGGAAGAACACTAGCATCGTCGCGCAAAGCGAACCTACGCTGATTATGACAAAGCACCATTTTTGGTTTTCGGGCGAACTGATGGCCTGAAAATGAAGGCGCAATTAAAAAAAATTAGTAATGAATTATTACTGTTCTAAGGACAGTGGCATATTTTAAATAAGATTTCGGCGATAGAACACGAAACACGTGCTCGTCCATCTGCAGACCTTATGTTCTAAAAATTCAATAATTATCAGGCGTCGGATAGCACCGTCCTAAAGTTGGACCTGTATTAAACATATATTTGCCGCAGATTTTTACGATCGCACTCTGATTTTGAGCTCTATCGTTTTATAGAACACTATATAACCCTTCTAATCATATCATAACTAGTGTGAAATCCTAAATTTTGTATGCCTTTGCAGAGAAGAAATGTTTGCGGAACATAATCTTAATTAGTTGACTATAGCTGCTTTTATTCAGTGCTATTGTGACACATTTGCATCGTGGTCTAGATGCACGCGTCCATACTAGGCCAAAAAACACTATTGGTCTTTACAATATTTAGAATCAATACGCACCATATCCCGAATGTACGGCGCAAATATTCCTCCGATGCGACCCATCGCAAAAGCCATAGCAAATCCAAGCGATCGTATATTGGTCGGCATCAGCTCAAGTGTGTAGACCCATTTAATCGACGTTGCTAGCGTTAAGAAGAAGCGAGTGAGACCACTTAGGACAAGCGAATACAAAGCATCTTCTGCAAAACAGTCGTACATGTACATATGCACAGCAAAACGTTTCTCTTATACAGCTATATACATTAGATATGAGAAAAATCGTATAGAATCGCGTATAATGCACCGGAGACGCGGCTGCCAGACTGTCCAGTTATAGTCACGAACAAGAATTCTTCACTTTGTTATATAGAAGTGAGCCTCTACAAGACCGATTTCTCCATATTCGAATAATATAGGTCTCGCTCCCCATCACCATGCCAGTTGGCCTTTTTAGTCATATAATTCGTTAATGCTCTAGAGATTTCGACAATAAAATTTAAAAATTCAGAGAAACACTCGCACGACAAACGTCTCGAATGGTAAGCACCGGTTGGTTGCACCATCGTACGTTCTAGTCATTTTGAACCTCGGTTACTATCATTACGTACGAATCGGTATCGCTGCCGCAACGATCGCACAGGCAGAGCCTACTGCTAGGGATGACGCCATGGAGGAACGGCGGTTGAAATAGCGCAGGAAGATCATTCCGATGAGCCCAGCTGGAATCTCCGCTGCGGCGTTAATTGCAAATGCCAACTTATGGTCTGTATCTGAAATTGTGCAATAGAATGGTAACAAGTATAGACGGCGTCGTGGAAGCGTCCTCAGCCAAAAGCTCCACTGATCTACCTCAAAGGTAATTTTTGTTACCTGATTTTGACGTCAATAAAAAGAAAATCGAACCAAGATCCTTTTGCGGGTCTCGAAAATCATTAGCTAGTCATCCGGCACAATTTCGAATTTTCACAGTACCGTTGTGATTCGTGAACGTCACAGATTGTGGCGTTATACATTCTTCAGATTGTACATACTGGTACCCGATATTGTCTGTAGTAGCAGATCCGTATGTACTGCATGGTTCATATAATGAGTGCGGTTTTAGAATCCTTGAATTCGAAATACAGCCAGTCGTCATCATGAAGAAAAGAAGATCTATTCTTACCTCGAATATGAGACGAGAGAAAAATCTCAGCATAGTAGATGCCGTTCTCGATAAGCCAGTATAGTAGTATGAGCGAAAGTTGAATTCGTAATCGACCATGACCCAGCAGACGGAAGATTCCTTCAATTTCTCTGTTCTAGAATATGACAAATAAGCTAGATGTAAGTAAGGCTGTTCGTAAAGACAGTCAACCTATTTCAACTTTTACTAGAGTCGTGCAACGCAAGTATTCTGTGTACGATAAATACAGGCAGCATTTTTAAACTAAACCAGGTATTTTTCTCGCAACTGCAGATCAAATTGGGCACGTTTCATAGCACTATTCGATGACGTAGAAATGTCCAATCTGTTCATAATCGTCATATAAAATGTCTGTAAAAATTAAAAGACGCTTGCATAAAATACCGTGCAATGCATAGAGGGTAATCGTTGTGGAGCAAACGATTGTTTTTCTTATAGCGAGTATCATTTACTTAGTTTTTACTTAAGTTGGCATTAAACGAACTCAGAGATAAATAAACAGTTTACTTTCATTGAAGAACGCTAATTATATACTTAAAGCTCGTCGGGAGTTTTCGGTTTCGACTAAAAACACTACTTTCAATACAGCAGAACAAAATGAGCAAAACAGGTCATCATCCTCGAGTCTTCAATGAATTTAGACAACGTTACTGACCTTAATGCTAAAAAAGAAAATTATGCTTACTCAGCTAAATGCAAGTATATTATATATATATAGTAAGTATATTTAACATTAAGGTCTATCAAAGAAACAACACGGCATTTTTATTTTCATATAAGAAAGAAATCATACAAGCTCCGACATTTACAGGAATTTAACTACGCTACACACATAAAAAAGATGTCAAAACCCACATGAGTTTGCTCGACGAGATTGGACATCAGATAGCTGAAATTAGACACAATCCTTCGATTTGTCGTGAATATTGAGTTGAGCACCTCACGAGCTTCGAGCGTTCGCTTCTGGCTGACGAGCCAACGAGGAGACTCCTCGACAACTCTGAAAACGTTTTTTTTTTTTCTTTTATTTAGCGTATTAGCACAAAAAAATCATACTACCACCGTACTTCGACCTAGTAGACAGGTTATATTGGCATAAGGAATGCTCCCAATATGTCTATGTTTCCTTTTCACTTTGTGAAAAGGAAACATAGACATATTTTCTGTGTGTTTACGAAAAAAAGACGGATTTAATTGCAGGTCATATCTTTATTAAACCGAGGTTCGGCGAAGAAAAAAAAATCTCTTTAGTGAATGACCCTTAACAGTGTTATTGATCTGATCTAATTAGAATGATTAAGAAATCTTTGGGTGCTCACAATAGAGGCAGGAGGATGCAAAGGGCACACAGGCCCGTAACGAGTTGGAACAATTGCCACGAATTTAGTGCCATGGTAACATAAGGAATCGGCACCGTACACACCGCAAAGCCTATCGAGAACCCCACGTTGAAGAGGTATCGATCTCTTGGTAGAAGAAGCTCCATAACTGTTGAGTAAAAGACGCGCTAGACATTTACTCTTTGCCTCGACGAGTTATTATAACTATCTTGCCTGAATATTGCTTACCTGCTTGCTTTCGCTAGCAATATTATATGGCATTTTGAATACTATGATCTATTTCATTTCGAAAATACTAAATAACGGCCGTAGTAAGTTAATGATACCGCAACGATGCTTTGATTTCGAATGACTGATTCAGGTCAATTACGCTCCTCTCGACTTTAAACAGCATAACAAAGCAGCTAACGTAAATATTTCGAGAATTTTATACTATGTCTTGCCTTAATTATGCATCACTGCTTCAGACGGTTACGTCCTTCCAACAAAAATGAAGTATATCTACGCCCAATTTCGAACTTCAACTACTTCGTGTCCTAAAGTTAATTAGGCAAACGAGTTACTAGTATGGTAGTACACCTGAATCGAATAAGTGAATCAGGGAAAGAGGTGACACAATTATCAATGCAATAGGAGCAAGATACTCAAACTCGGACTAATGGAATAACGGAGCAAGGTAAACAGATTGACGATAGGACCGCAACAATAAACCGGCAACAAGGCACCAAATACACAATTGTAACGGAATAATAAGGACAGTGCAACAGAAGATTTGTACAAGTGCAACAGGCACGTTTAGGCTCAGAACCCAGGTTCAGGTCCATCGGGCGAACTCCCGTCATGTGGATTCAGAAAAGCAATAGGACAACTACTGGCTATGTACATGAAAAGGATTAATAAGAATTATGATTATTACTCTGCTTGACTGTGTTTGATCACACTAATAAAAACTAGTACATTTAAATAGTCGGTTTGTTAATGTTGATAACATATGAGATCGATGCCATGTATATCATCTATCAGTGTATGCCGCGTACTTACAAAGGGCTGATGCTGTGATCTGTATACCAGCTACCGCAGCGGCTTGAAAGAAACGGAACGTGTTGAAGAGCCAGAAAGATTTCTGAGTCGCCGATATCATCGCGAATCCTGCAAAGGTGACGGTGCTCACTAGCAAACTACGCCGACGGCCCTGCCTAAACAAACATGGTACAATAGACTGAACTTTTCTTTTCAAGTGTCACTTCAAGTGTCAAGGGAATCGCTATCGTACGCGCCATATACGCGAATCTGTGTCCTTTGATGGCCCATCACACCCAACCCGCTTTTCGTCTCACGTCAGGGAGCATATGAGGCGATATAAAAGGGCGCGAAAATTTGGATGTGGAACAAAGTAGTGAATGTTTCTGCTGAGTGTTTAAGGCGACCTGTAGACCATTTTTCTATCAATTGACCAGTGTAAATTGCTTACCAATCGGCTACGAGACCGAAAATAATCGCTCCGACGAACGATCCGGCGAACACGATGCTTTGCATCGCCGATCCCATCAAATGCCGGTCGCAGACCAACGACCACTAGAAGCAACAGTAATTATGTAGGTTATACAACTAGCTAGGTAGTATACTAGATTTTTCGGATAGGACACTTAAGGTTTATATAACAAAATGCTCTGTAACACAACTCAGTTTTTCTGCGTCATATCGGCCAGTGACACTATATACTTGCGTAGAGGCAAAGCGTGTGGCAGCGTGTAAGGCAGTACAGTTTCAACATAGGCTTTCACGTTGTCCATAGTCTTTTCGTTTTTCTTATTCTTCTTTATTATTATTATTATTATGTTTATATGTCGTATAATTTTGAACGAAAATTATTCTGTTTTTCGGTGCAAAGTTCTTGTCGTTTTTATTTTCACAGTGACGTGTATTGGCCTAGTTGTATTGTCCAGGACAAACGAAACGCAATGATCGAAATTGCACCTAATTTAGGCTCTAGGTTTTCAATTCGGATTATTTTCCATACAAGAAAGTTTTACCTTAGCTAGTTTAACACAGCCACTGGGTACATATTAAGCTATATTTTATAATTTTAAATCGAAAATTAGACACCATCAGCCACTAACAAGTCGTTCGCGTTATCTAACTTTAGTGTTTAGTTGAGCTGTTTTTGACACAGGGGTTTATAGAAATAGCGTTGGCCGACTGACATTCAACAGTGTCTCCGCTCACTGATGGTCGTCGGCAAATGAATTTCTTGTCAAAGTATTAAACCATCGCGCTTTCGTCGCTGGCCATCTTGACCGCTTATAGCGGTACATGGCCGAACCAGTTCCTGCGCCGTATATAGCGTCCTAAGTGGCAAAATCGCCGTATTGAATATATGCGGTTGAGTTAGGTATGTGTAAACAAATCGAAAAGAAAGAAGAGGTAAAACTGAATTGTCCCCGTAGTAGTTGAGTGCGTATGATACATTTGTCTAGAGACACGTGCTGGTCCAGATAGGTGCTGGGAATCAGGCGTCTGATGAAGTCTCTAATGGCAATAGCGGACGTAAAACCAAAGATATTTAGGTAAAACTGAATTGGGCATGGGATAAATAACATTTTTGAGACCTAACCTTGCATATATAGTCAGTACATAGAACTGAGCTAAACTTGCAAGATCTAGAAAAATGCCACAGATTTCCTATTGTCTGCCTATTTGAAGATGCATTGCAAAAAAGCCCAAGGCACAATAACACCGACTTTGATTTTCTCAACAATGCCTCGGCTATCAATCTACCTGATCGATGACCATGATGGCACGGCGCTAACTTTACTATCTCTTTACACGGTTCAAAACGTATTCTATTACAACTGAAATGGCTCCTCTTGGCGATATAAAATATATACATTTTTAGACGTACTTTTCGATAAATATACTTTCACTCCTCTTAAGTGACCGTAATCTACCCATCTATCAGTGGTACCGTGCTTATATATGCTTACATATATATAAAATATATATGATGTATATATATATATATGAACATATGTATATATATATTGCGTGCCTAAGCTGTCAGGATTTATTATGGCAGCACAAGATCATTCTGCGTTACGCACGCATGTAACAATTACCTAGATCCTCCGGTTTTTTTTTTGGTTTGCGTAAGACCATCGGACACACGCTCATGTTTGAAGTCTCATAGCTATTAACCTACCACGCAATAACGTCAATAGCGTAAAAATCCGTAACCGACAAATGGCTATTGAAATAATGTTGAAAATGGCTCTGTTGCTTCAGAAGGCAACGCCACTAATGATACTAATTGTTCTTTCTTACGTCTTATTTCAAGCCATAAGATGAAGACATATTTGGGTAACTAAATATAAACCTATTTTTAGAAAACCAAATTGCATTTTTAAAAAAGAGCTAAATAAATTTATGGATCCTTGCTCCCTTTCAGGCTAAACGGGCGTGCGCCAGGCATTTACCTGTCGAACAGTAACTTCGTTCCACGGGCTACAAGTGCGTCATAGAATATATTTCTGGGACTGGAAAATAGATTTGGTTAGAAAGAAGATAAGATAAGGTTACAATTAGCATGTGATTAACCGGGCACTGAAAAGTTCTATGCACGAAATGCTCAGTACTATGCATGCTTAATAGCCAACTTGTACGTGCCGGGGGAAGGGGGAACTAGTATTCAAAAAGGGGTGAATAATATGTAGGTCTACAATGAGAAAAAACTTAAGTTAGCAATTGAGTCAACTTACTTCTTCAACGACGGACCAGCCATAGGCGGTATCAGGTTTGTCGAACGCGAACTTTGGACATTTTAGCGGAGCAGAGATGTTCAGGAGAACTAACTCACCCTTGTGGTCTATTTGTATATGAAATTTTGAGCAGTTGTTCTTTAAATATCGCTCTAACGAATGATTCTGAAAGGACGAAGAGATAAAAAGAATATTTTTTTAATTAGATCTTTATTGAGTGTATCTTACCTATCTGTAGATCTTCGCAATCTAACTCTACCTGGATGTTAGGTAGATCGTTTCTAGAATCTAACCTAAGAAACGACTCAATAGATAGAAAAAATGTATATAGCTAATAATTGAATCGAACCGATGCGATGTTTTACACAAAAACGTCTTCCATAAATTTTTCTATAGACGTGGTACGTACGAAGAAATGTGTATGTCGTTATCCTGTTTTTGGGAATAGTTTTTATTGGAGATTTTGTCGGTAATTACGCTGTTCTAAGATAAGTGCTCTTTTAGCTAGCGTCCTATAGTGCATATTAAATGATCTTTGGTGGGCTGTTTCTCGTAAGGGGATTATGTTCAGCTGCTGCTCTACTTGCCGAGCGCCAGTCCTCTTTGAGACGAAACAATCGATCCGTCACAGCAAACGAAAGTGTGTCGTTTATGGAAACTGAACAAAGCGCAGTTATTATTTACTGTTGCCGTATTGATAGAAGGTACTGTAATTAAAAACATCAATCTACCGAAATCAACGATTTACATTATTTCCAGTTTTAGGGCGGCCTCTGAAAGATCCAAGGGCAGTTCCGTGAAGCAAAGCAAAAGATCTGCGATAGGGTTTAAATTTGAAAATTGATTAAAAATTTAGTCAAAACATTATTTCTGATACAGAAACAATAGATTTTTTTGGAGAGGATAATATCAGCTGCCGATTAGATTATCCAGATAAACTCATACGGTTGGCTGTTTTCGCCCATTCTGAGCCCGTAAATTTGCGAGACTCCTAGTCTACTATCGGACCAAAATATAATTCCTAAACCGTTTGATTTCTTTAGCATGTGTAGACAAAGGATTGTGCGCGTACTATCACAACGGCGCGAATCTAAAACTAATAGAATGGGGTTCATAGTCTGATATGGTCGGACCTCCCACTGAGCACTCTCATGCCCTATATCCAACCATAGTGCACACCATTAGCACTCTGTCCAGCTAATGCTTGCCCTAGACACACCCAAAAGTTTCTGAAAAGCTTCCAGGTACTACTTATTCAGTAGCAGCACTGAAAATTTGACACGTTACGAAATAGCGGAGTATATGTGTGGAAATCCATATGGCTTTAGGGACATTTCTATTCATAGGACACAATGATATTTGTTGTAGCGCACTGCTTCAAAAAAACAGCATGGAAGAACGTCACAGCGTGAATCTAGGGGAAAATTTACTAATGGAGCTAAGGAAAATTACAAGTTGCAGAAGTACAGCTCTATCATGAGTACTTAACCGTGCCATTGACGTACGTAATTAAACACTGATTAATGTTGATCCGGATAAGTTCTTGATCAATACTGTACGTTATGAACGGACTGGGTTTTGCACTTATTTGGGTCGGCAACATTTTTATGTTTGCGACCCACATATAGTTCTACTTGTATAATATATCAATGGAAATAGCATTTCATTCAGTTGTTCAGTCCTCTCTGTAGAGACTCAAGTATTTGTCTCATGGCAGAATCTGATTGTTCTACGGATACGATCGAGATAGTTTCCTTAGCAAAAGTTAGCCACCCTCCAGCTTCAAATGAAAATAACAAAGTCCTATTCATATGACTGGCTTCCCTCATCTATTAGATAGCTTTTCTTCGAAACACGGTAATGTTAAAAAAATAGTAACGCGCAACTTCTGTAGCCTTATATCAACTTAAAATCTGATTTTTAACTTAGTTGATTGTTCTTTTGTTTACTTTACCTTTTTAATGAGGTACCAAGTGTCTTCATCGTACGCACATCTGAATGGAACATCTCCCGAGATAAAATCAATTCCTGTCAGTGTCCATGCTGAAGGCAGGGCTCGGAGCACCGTCACCAGGAGCACAATGAAATGATATAGGCCGAACGAGCCAATTACGTCGCTCACGTCCATTCGCATTCTGATTCTTATCGCTACTGCGTTTTATGATACTGAGAATTCAATAGGTAAACGACAGATGGACGATGATGGAAAGCCACGCTTCTCTAGTCCTTCTGGTTCAGATGGATAGCGTTAAGAAACTATCTTCTTTACAGACGAAGCAGAAATCGCCCTGATTAATCCGATGTGATTTCTCCGTCTGTACTTGTGTGTGTCGGGCCCTTGGCTTGAAGCTTTTCATATACCTGCAGGTGGATGGAAGATTCGTATGGATTAATGTTTGTCAAAAAAAACTTTATAAATACATATTATGCGTCGTATTTATTGACAAGGTTAATTATGTACAAATTATTTGAACGTACGAAACGCAAGGTCGAAAATTGCTTCAAACGTAAAACATCTTTTCCATAAGTTGCACGCAGGTGACACAGCCCACATCTGCATGTTGGTAGATACATAGTCTTGCGCTACAGTCTGCTCACTGAACTTCGCTGTTCCCCTGATAGCTTAATTTGCTTGCTAATCTAAGAGGCATGTCGTGGTAGAAGTTCGAACCCGGTCATAGACACACTTGTTGAAACCCAGCGGTCCGATAGAATGCCCAGCGGCAATGTTGGATATAAAACCTGACACATAGATGCCGAAATTTCGCTATCTAGAGCTTGAATTTGTAATAATGAATATAATAATAATGAATTTGTAACGTTCAAGACATCTTTCATAATAGGCTGTAGTAACAGCCAACGGTTGAGCTCATTCTTTTTTTTTTTTCAAAATAACAATGGAAAGCGCAAAGCGGCCCGTAGTCAGCATGGGATTTTGGGTCCAATGACCGAATTTTTTCAAGCTAGCATTTCTTCTTACGTAAGTAAAAATCCTTACGTAAGTATATTATAGTGCCGATTTGTTGAAATTTGCTGTTTTTTTTTAAAGGATAACGGAGGATCTTTGCGATGGCCGAAGAATATCAAAAAGCGAGTTGAAAATCAGAGAACTACTTAAATTAAGGAGCAAATAACTATTGAAAATGGAATACAGCCCCTTTTTCGAGTAGCATTGAATCTATGTTAACATAGGTTTAGCGAGAGGCTTATAAGTGCAATGATGAAATTACGGGCGTTCCAGTTCGCTAGAATAGTTTTATTTACAATGTGGTTTGACGAGTGACATCAGGCATGGCATCGTTCCGAAGGCGTACCTAACACAGGGCAATCATCATTATTGGAATAGGATAGCCACGCTTAGACCTAGAAGATAACCTGTTTAGGGCAGCGACTATGATTTTTCGAATATAGGAGCCGGATACAAGATGTCTATCTCGGTTTCTGTTCTATGGGACGATGATGCTCAGATTGCCTAGAGCGTTACTCGTCCTCTCTCGAGGCTCCACTGTTAACATGTTGAATTGCTGCTACCAAAGTACAATTTTACACCGATACTAGTCCATTAATCGATTAAGTTTTTTCAATCTGTGACTTGTAAAAATATCTACATATATAAATACACTCATAATAACAATGGTAGGCGTTATTTGAGCATAGGTGCGACTAACTTGAAGGTAATTTTCTGCTAGATTTTTTCTTGCTAGATTCACATGAACCCCTGTTCGGTCAACAAAAGTACTACTCACTATTAGTTATGCGGTTTAAGGAGTTTCTGCTTTGTTTGTTTGGCGGGTCGTGTTTACTATCGCCGTATCTCTATGGACGCCTGCGAATGCTCTGCTGCTCTCGTTTCTACGAACTAAATAGTTGAGCTCTACTAAGCAAAAAACGTTCCACGCCATATGCGAACTACCCTGTAAGGTCTAGATCAGGCGATTAGTGAGTACGTCACTAGGGGGTGAGCATTTGGAAAATACTGTAATCTGTTAATTATTGGGAAAAAAAAAACCGCTTAACCACTGCAGTAGAATATTATGTACTGTTGACATTGTTGGTAGTAAAGCTATCATGTGTTGATTGGTGGCGCAGTATCGACTGTGACCGTGATGGACTGAATTTGGCCAAATCTCAAGAAACCCAGTTTTTCACGTAGCATTGCCCGCCTCGTGTTTGTATGGACAGATCGAAGTTTATCTATTTTTATTGTGTAGATCCACGATCATAATTATCGATATAATTATATCACGCGATTTTTCTTAATATCCACACAGTATCAATGTATTTAGTCAAACAGGTACAAAAATTTACGAGTTCTTGCCAGCTAAAATGATGAGCTACAAGTAGAACGACAATGTTTCGATGTTGTATCGCATCACGACACAAGCCGAGAAAATTTTCAAACGAGTCGCCTCTGATTGATCGTGTTTCTTTAACTGAAGCCACAAAAGTACTGCTGAAGTAGCTTTGGCGATCTAATAAACTCTATAAATAAAAATAAAAACAAAATATAAACGAATAACAAATGAGTTACGTTTTCGGCATCTGGCTACCTGCATACGTTCACTGTGTATAAATGTCTAACATGCTACATCCCTTGCTGTACAATTCAACTTTTTCACACATTGTCCCTAGCCGTCTTCGCCAGCCCGGGCCAGACCAAACTTAAGAGGTATGGAAGTTTGTATACCAGAAAGTGAGGAAACAGCCTGTTTGCTTTGGAAACGTTCGGCGTCCTCACGACTCGTCTAATAAACGAAATTTATCAACGGGCGGTTAAGACAGCCATAGGAAACAGGCGCGCGAGAAAATTTTTACTCTGACAGCTTTCATTAGATGTACCGAGGAGAAAAACTATTAGCACGCGTGGTACTTTGGCTAATTGTAACTGGTGGATTATATACCAGGTATTTTCGAAATTTTTGTTTATATATACACAGTATTGCTTCAAATCAAACTCCGCATTGCAAGTATCGGGTTGAAAATAAGCTGTAGAAGCTGATTAAAATAGCAAACAATCAATACATGCAAAAACGTGTTTAGCAATAATGAACTGTCTACGGTGCTCCCATTGAATATTTATATAAATAAATCATCTCTTTGAGAAGTAGACGCTTGATAACTGGAATTATTTTATATACGAAACAAATATAATTAGGGTATATTTATTTAGTGCAAGGCAGACGCTGGCAACCGGATCTGTCTGACGGAACGGGTAGGTCAGCTAAAAAAACATATAATTTCTAATAATGCGCACAGTTCATACCACGAACAGACGGCCTTAAAACTGGGAAGTTGAATCCTATATGCGGGCATTTTTCTACTGAGTAAATTTAATATGAAATAGGACCGAGGTCCTGAGGTTTTTGATGGCCTACGCAGCGCAAGTTGAAATGAGTTAATCAACCTGCGGCGCACATACGAGCCGCATCGTGCACTTACAATGGAAGTTAATCTCGAAAACTTAACACTAAAAAGATTGGAAGAGCCCATTTTCCTATAAATAAATAATTCATAATTTTATTTATTCTTATTGCTAATGTTCAGTGATTTGTGCGTAAATAATTTTTACTGTTTGCCAGATACAAACTGAAACAGCGCGTGTGCCCATGACCTACTTAGCAAAAACAAATAAACCATTATATTACAGTGTAGTCCTCATCGTTCGACTTACTTTTCGGTGTTCTCTTCTTTATTAATTATCCCATCTGACCCATAACGTATATTTTTAGTTAGCACAAACACAGGATAATAGATTGACACCGACATTGAGTATCACTTCACTGCCCAAATGCTCTATCGCTTTAAAGTGATGTGTGTGAATCTGGGGCAGTTTTCTGGGCCGAATGGGTTTTACTAATGGCACATGTTGCACTTCGTCGATTGGCCAGATCAGGAGCACCTTAAGCTATTTGTATCAACACGCACACGAAAACTTCCATCCACCTCCTTTCCAAAACGGATCGGCGTTAGTTGCCGATATTCTGTTACTACCGTTCACACCGTAAGATCCTATTAACCATTACTTGCCCGCAGAGATAATTAGAGATATTTAGTTTTGTGCCCTTTGTTATTGTGCTGTGGTGGTATTGCATTCGTTTGCCCTCGACGCCGGGCGACAACAGCTCAATCATTTGGCTCGTAGATATTCTCGACAAAAAAACTGGAGGCCGATCGACCGTGGCATTCACGTTACGTCGCGTCACCTAGGAGCGATGAAGCTCTCGAACCTTTTTCAGCGCCAATCACAGCTTCGTTCTCCTTCTTGCAACGCCGCTGACAACGCGCACAGCCGATACGATTCCTTTGCTCTTACCCAAATACGGACGTTCTTACGGCGGGCTGCAACTATTAACCCGCCGCTAGAAAGACTCTGCTCCTAGAATCACCCAGTCAGCACAATTAATGCCCAGTGATGGCGACCCCTCCCTTCCGTTTGACGGTGCCTTTACGACGGCGCCAAAAACAGTTAACGTATTCTTGCACCAGCTGTCATATCGCAGCACATTGATGATTTATACATAAGACATACGTATGTGTATGTAGATTAATCTATACAGGTCCGTACAGCAGAAATAAATTTAATTTGCCACACGTTCGTCTTGGAGTGTCAGTGTTTTTTGGTGTAACGCTAGTCTATTCGCGATGTCTGTCGGCGGCTGGAGCAGACCGAATACTTTACATCGGAGACTCTCTATCCCTCATTTTTACTATTTTGCTCGATAATTACAGTAACGTTATTGCCAACAGCTTGCAGCCGGCCGTTATACTTTATAGACAGCTCCTTCCTATTGAACGTCTCGGCCTATCCTCCTCTCCGCCTTTATGAGAAGTTACTGCAGAGTGCCCACTCGTCCACTCCTTAAACTCGTTCACCGAGGAGTCAGATGATGCCAAAAACAGCACCCATGACGGACTCTCGCTTGATCCCGCTCAGTAACGACTTGCCAACGCCCTCTCCAGCTACACAGTTTGTCGGCAAGCTGCTAAATGCGAGGTATGACACACTCTACGTCCGTAGCGGCTTACGGATTGAGTTAACCAGCGTTTCTCCGGCGTGCGTAGAATTCTGCTAGACATTATCGTTTCCCCTATGGATCTGCTTCTCTCGCTGGAACACTGATTCGCGCTTACCGTAATTGTCCGATAATGACGTCCATAAATGTCGTCGTCTCATTTATAAACCTATTTGTAACAAACGCAATTTCCAGTCCAGCTAGAGCTGTGGCTGTCGAAATCTGAAATGCACAGCGTGTTTCTCCATGTGATCCAGTTGTAACTTGCAGTTCACAGTGTGTTTGCGATACCGTTTACCTTAGTTAACTGGACTAAACGCGCTGCTTGAAGACAGGAAAACGAGACAAATTAAGCGGTTGATGCAGGTAGAGTTGCGATTTATGTTCGAAGGGATCGTTGCCATCAGTTCTTCCCCTACTTGGTTGTTCTTATGGGGGGCATTTCGTCTGTGGAGTTACCCCAGCTCAAGTGGATCCATGCCAAGTGGAAGCTAGCATTAACTTTTACGAAGCTGTATCTTTTTGTCAATGATCAATAACTTCAATCAATAACTTCATTAGAAAACGATACCTGATCTAATATTGTATTCTGATACAGGCTGGTTAGCGTGATTGTTGTTTTAGTGTTAAATATAAATCGTACTGGTCGCGATAATGTGACTCAGGCTAGGCAGCGTTAATGGAGGCAAATTACTTTCCTTAGAGTTTCTTACATAGGGGCTGTGTACGGCTTTATGGGGTCCAGAGGTAATGCTAAGTTTGTTCTCAGGTGATCTAGTAAGGTCTCGTAGGGTAGGACTAATCTATAATAACTATAATAGCGTAACCGGTTTTGATGCATCTGGAGACCATATTGCATAGTTTCAAATCCATACAGATACCCTTGCATTTATGCGTGTATTATAAAAGGAAATCCTTATCGCTAGCCAATAATTATACAATTCTCTCGGTGCCAAGGGAAAGGTGACCGTATAGTTATTCTGCTAGCTAATATCCAAATATTCATTTAATTATAATATCGGCCAATCTCAGCATGCTCAATTGCGCACACTACTGAGTGTGTATATGTGCAGCTTTCGTATGTGTACAACTGCTGAGCCCAACGTTGTCTCGAAAAAAAAAGCTACATATGCACACATTTAGATCAACTACTATAACGGGTTCGAACAAACACTGAATTAGTAAAGTGGAAAACGCTACAGGTACAACTCTTCGATGCAACCGGCTTAAATAAATGGGGCGTTCGTCAGCGTAATATGGTGAGCGGACAAGTTAAGGGTGTTCTTTGGGTGGTTTGAAACGCTGAAGTAACGTCCTCTGTACGATATTGCTGTCGAGCTTTCCAGAGTGATCTAAATAATAGTTATTTTGGCCACGTGCTGCTCTAGCGCTCCCGGCCGCGGTAACGGTTCGTACGACTTGTAGTACGATCGCGGATCAGCACTGCAGGAAACCGAGTCTGAATTGAGGTTCCTATTGTTATTAGGTGCATATGTCCAAAATCAGAGTAGCGGTGGGTTTTTCCTCCTGTGCGATAGATAGATAGATAGATAGATATGTGCGAAATTGACAAACGCTGTAGCTAATCACATAGGCCAAAGCTTATTAGCACCTATCTCGAAGCATATCTGTAATACGAAAAGCTACGCGGCGTAAAAGTGCTTTCGGGTACATCGGTCACATCAAACACTTCGTTGAACATGGACATAAATTAAAATTTCGTTCTTAACCGATGTAAAAGGAAGAGCTAAGACTGTCATGTACCTATGATAGGCAAGAACTAGTGTCATCTGATGATTCTCAAGTAAAAAGAAGAAAATGGCTTCAGTTGAAGGATCAAATCCGAAACGCGATTGACTAGACCTAGCCGAAAGCAAAATGACGCGTACAATAATCATTTCCGCGTTTGCTTCGGTCCCAGCATTGCTATGGGTGATTCTGAAATGTAAAATGTCTACGCTAGTAGCCTCTTTCTACCGCTTTGCTACATTATGAAGGTCCTGAGAGCATCAGCCTGTGAAAATTAATGATAATGTATGTAATTCAAACTACACAAACGAGTAAATTCTCGGCACGGGGCGAAATTATTTCCCAAAACTTAAACAACAACCCGCATATAAGCAAAGCGACTTCGATGACATTTTGTTCTGGGCAATCATAGAGAAAAGTGTATAATACCCATCGTATTATTATAGAATTAAACTTCATTGTTCTAACATATATCAACACAGTGGATGAATTTTTTTTGTCGGCAATTTATCTGTCCTTATCACCCGGTCGTGACCTTCTTTATATATATATATATATATATATATATATATATAACTATTAAAAGAAGTAAAGCTGGCAGAGGCTAGGTGCTTAGTCTTTGGCGGTTTAGTAAGAATATTGGCATTTGATACGCTGATTTACGAGTCCCCTTGAACCCTGCTCTGAAGACTGTGGTTTCATAATGGGCTGAATGGGTTCACAGAGTGAGGATTTCGATTTTCATCAATAGACTTCACGGAAAGCAGACTCGCACCGAGCTCGAAAATAATTTCAATGGTTTTTATTCGTTTCACGGCATTACAGCAATCTGATGAAAAATGTGCAATAATAATGATATGAACAGCTTGATTGATCTCTTGGTTTTCTCGCCTATTTTACTTTTAACTCATAAAGTGATTGAAGACGGTGTCGATCAAGTCTCGACCATAAAACCCTTCGCTAGTTACTTACTTTGTACCAGTCGTCTTCATCACTTCCTTAGGAAAAGTTATACCACAACTTAGCACATTTTCACGAGTACACATCGTTACCTACAATAACTACTTTAACCGTGTATCACAGTAAGCAGTTTTCGTGCACAGGTTTACCGACGGGTTTGTTTTGCAATCACGGCCGGACGACGTGCCGTTATGCTAACGAGCCTAAATGCGTTAGAGAAAAGTACCTGTCTACAATAAAGTTAGCATCCAACAACGACCTACTTGGTCACTAGGGGTAGTAGCTAAGTGACCTTACGGTGATACTATGCGAGCTGTTAGATTAACGCGCACTCGACCGAGTTTAGGTACTGTTCACGACCTACGCTACATATATTAATTGCATGGCATTGCACGAAGAGATGGAGAGATATCTCTATCAAAATGAACGATTTCGGCACGCCATTGATACCCCATGTTTTAGTGACAACAGCGCACATTACTATGATTTCCATGGACAGCATTGGGGTCGCCACGCCGCCTCAGGCTGGCAGTATGACATCTGGTGATCTGAGTAATGAGCCGGCCCGTCCGATTTGATAAGGTTTGCGCGTGCGTGCATGGGATGTTTTTTCATCATGTTGTTGTCATCAGTATTACGTGCGTCATTATCGAAGAACCGTAAATGGAAAAAAGGGAGATAAACAGGACGACGACGGTAACGAAATAGCAAACACGTATTATGCTGTGTACATTTTCGCTAGCAACGGCACCTCAGCCAGTTCATCGAACAACAATGACGACTCCATCCTGGATGATGAGCTATCCTAGGAACGCCATACCTGAACAGAGCAAGGCCTTAGCTTTTGCTGCCGATCGGCGACGCGACGCAGCATGGCGCAACTGTCTGTCAAGTTATAACTGTCTTTCCGTAAATTTCTCTCCAGCGGAAAATTTTACTAGGCCTGATTGCAGGGAAACAGGCACATACAGAGCCCAGTTATAAGGAATCAGTTTCATCCGAAAACAAAAGTAGGGCAGCAATGGCCTGGCGGGGCCCACTCGCCTATCGGGCGCCACAAACCGTTTTCGTACAGGCTTCACTCGAGTGCTCTGTTTACGGTAACGCAAACAAAAGAAACGGCAGAACGGCGGCAAGAAGGCCTGGTTACTAGTCTAGCCGCCTGGCAGTCTCTCCGGCTACCGCGGACCAGACGCGACAGAATAGGGCTGGAAAGGGTATGTCCTAAGGAAAGACGAACGTACACAAGTCACTACCGCCACCATAACCTAGCAATCTAAAACGAGCGATCTCGTCTGGGAAGAGCGCATCGGCATGGAATGATAAGTACAAAATTACGGTAACGGAGTCGAAAGAAAAACCTTATATTTCGTCACCACTAAATAGCACCCCGTTGATATTGACCACTTCGATAGAACAACCCAATTAACATACTATTTAATATCGTCGTTTAGCGCTTATGGGTTGCGTGGACGATACTGTACCTGCAAGCCTCATAATGGTCCCTGACTGTGTCTGGGTCGAATTATCATCTATGAGCAACATAGCTGTAAATATTATGATGTAATATTATTACTATTTGTATAATATGTACACAATTTATCAATGCAACCTTTTTTCTAGATAAAAAAAAATTTATACGGCGAAGCTGGCCAAATGTACATACTCATGTATCGTCCTGTGGGCACATAGCTGTCACCATAACACAGCTAAATATGTGCGGGAAACCTTCAAAGGGTAACTTGAAAATATGTAGCAGGCAGAATTAACTTAGGCATTGAAAACAACATTTTTAGATTCAACGTACTAATTGAATGACAAACGGCAACGAAGTTAAAATTAGAGTTTACATGTTGGCCTCATCAAGATTGATCACATAAGTTTAGATACCATGATGGTTAATAAAGTGCCTTTTATTTATTTTTTTTTTATTGGAATACAACAAAATAGCATAGAAACGGATAAGTTTTCCAGCAACGCGAGCTGGGAGTCCTGCAGTCGGGCACAGATTGCTTAAGCTTATGCATAACATTACTGTCAATGTCGGGGATGAGTTTCCATGGACACAGCCTAATAAACACTTTTGCAGGTTTCTTAGGCGTTTATTGCTACAGCGATGTGTAAACTGTTATAGTAGTCATAGATCATCATCAATATACGGGGAAAAATTTCGTCGTAAGAAAGTAATGAAAAGGCTGGGTCAATTTTGGGTTAATCGGTTGATTTTGGATGCAGGTGGTGCAGATCGCCTTAAGATATACAAATTTTTCGTGAATAAATGATCCCGTTTTCTTATTCTTGGTCAAGGCGCTGATGTAGATGATTGTAATAGTTGCACGTATCTGTCTTCTTAATTAAGTTAAATTCTATCGCAATCTTAACGAAACAATAGTTTCATTACGTTTACATTAAAGCATCACCAGCCAATCATTGATTTTTCCTCTTGTACATCCATTAAATACACAGGGTAAAGACGTAATTTTTTACATATTTGTTTGTATCACTGACGATATAATTGTATAAACACGTGTGACATTTACTAATCTGCAGATAGTTTTTTCCTTAATATCAGAACGTTCAACTTCAAAGCTTTCTTCTTGCGCATTTATCCATGTTTAATTGTACGAAGCTGTGACGTACGCACAATTCACAGCGTTAACCTCTTTAGATAGTAGGAACGACTGTAAACTTCACTAACTGGGTCTAGCATCTTTTTAACATTACAGCATTCTACCGATGTATGCACTTTTTGGGACCTTAAAATATCGTTCAGGGTAAGAGCACATCTTTGTCATTATATTTTCAAAGGTCCTTGATTTAATGGAGGATTAATCGTTTCTCCTGATCAGCGTTATGTTTATCGGCCTGTGGTACCGGCGCAGATGGTACTTAGCCGAGTAACTTCACCTCGATATAGAAACCGTCTGATATATATATAGCCATACGAATACTGAATAACGCGACAAGCGGGCAATATTTCGATTTCAGATAAACACATAATTGTAATGGGTCAACGAAATGATACCACCTTTCCAAAATTTTCCACTATTCCTCAGTTGGATTAAACCGGTTTGACCTGACAATCAAAGCCTGCCTTTCTCTAACAAATGTTCTGCTCACATCAGAGCGACACATTCAGGTGACGTACAGCGCGAATGCCAGGATAAACAAACCCCTGGGGTCAGTTGATTCTTAACGTATCACAGTATCTCCTACTCTGCTTCTGCGAGTCTAATAAGTTAATATATGACCATGTATAACATAACCTGTAGAATCTCCGCACAATTAGCTGGCCTAGATTTCGATAGATAACAACTAGAAGATTGATAGTCTTGTAGAGGAAGGTTGAGCCTCTTAGTAATACCTGCAACGGCTGTAGAATCATGGCGCAAAAAGGTAATGATATCAAATGGAACCAATGAATGGCGAGTGAATATTTCCAGGCATAACGGGGATCGGACTACTTGGCCTTCGATAGAAAGTGATTTCCAGCTCGATCTAAACCCGTTCTTCCTTTTAGCCAATCTTATTCGGGCTAGCCCACGCAGAACTCGTACGAAGGAGGTAAACACGGTTTGCAAGCAAATCGTGAATAGGAAGACATTAACCATGTTTAAAGTTTGCGGACAGCCGCACTGGGCTAGTATTACATAGACAGACAGCCACGCGCGTATGTTCAACTAAACGAACAGTTTCCCGTTACGACGACGTCTGCCTCGCATAAGCTCAGTGAGTCATAAGGCATAACAAGGGTTGCGCGGAGTTATCGGCTCAATGTCTGTTGAGCAACGAGAAAGATAACGAATTTTTGATCCCCATTCAAGGGGGGGCGGTGGCGAGGCTATGAGAAGGAAGGGGTAACTTGGCTATAAATTAATGAAATTGTATATATTTGGTGATGCCGAAACAGCTGTTTTAGTTTTGAGCGTCGTTCAGCCGTCGTATGTCGATGGCGTAGACGCAAGCACATTTAACCGGTGTATTATAATTGATCAAAGTGGAAAAATAATATTGACAAGAAAGAATCCTTTTTTACACTCTTAAACAGCTATTATCCTTATGTCAGACTGGCAGTCGACCATACCTTAGTTGAAATAACGTTCGATAACTAAACGAACGTAAAGTGTTGAAGTCGGTGCGAGGAAACGCACAGAACTGCCCTCTATGATGATTAAATAAGAGGAAGCTTTTACGAAAATAATACGGTTGGAAGCGCGTCCATTTTGATTTCGATATATAAGAGAAATTTGTTTTCGTTGCCCAAAAGAAGTTCGTCAGCTTTTATATATTGAAAACCAGTAATAGCTACTTAGGAATAATGTCGGGAACGGCATGTCTACACAAGATTGCAGTAGCCATCTTATGACCGAACTGTTGTTTATCGCAGTAGAGCATCGACGACGGAGCCATTGACAACTTCTGCCTGTGCGCGATATTCCTATCACGTCCATTGCCGCCAGCCCTGCGCCGTGTCCTATTTCAATTCGCTAGCGGTGTCACCAATACGCTTTTATAAAAACGAAGCCTATTTCTTCACGGAATGTGCAAGAGTATGAAACTTCCGAACTCATTTAATGAACCTTTTAACTATTTAGGCCATGTTATCGCCCGGTCAGCGTCGACGATATTTAGTCTTCGCCGTTATCAGGGTTCGCGTACTATGCATGCGTCTATCATCCGCAAGGCAAAAATCCCAACGGGATAGGAGTACGGGATGAAATGATTCTTTTTTTTGCGTAATCTGCTTGTCTTGTAGATCCCGCATGTTGGACCTAAGCTCATTTATATTTCTGTGTTGAATAAATGGTGACCATTTTGATCGGTCTCCGATAGCACACGAACGAGTTCGAAGTGCTGTGGGATCCGGTAACTGTCCTAATTTCGACTTGTACTATACTCGTCACTAGGTCATGAAAGGAATTATGGATACGGTCTTAACTAATTAGCTGCTATTTACTAAGAACATATATTTGGACGCTTAATTGAGAATAACGTAAAATACCGATTTCTACGATGGGACGTTTCGATTAATGCTGCATACATGGATATTGAGCAAACATTTCTTCCTCTGCCGGTCAGTTTTTAGAAGTAGAGCTTACGAATCTATCAACGCACAAAGCACGTCAAAACATCTCCGTTCGTCTCGGTTCTCGTAGAGAACATGGTGATCGATACGATGATGATCCTTTCAGATCTATGGAGAACTCTGTTATGATGGATCTGTTAAGCTACGTTATTTCCGATGAACGTAACGCTGTTTCGCCTGATAGTGCTCAATGTGTTTATAGCTTGTTATTATATTGTCGGGTGGTAATTATACTGTCGTTCTATAATTACTTGTTGTAGTGCAAAATTCGGTCTAGGGAGACCTCGACAGGGAGGTAACTGTTTTACATCGTAGTCTGCTAAAATAATAGGCCGCTGGCTCAATTCAATATAATTCGATAAATCGCAGTCACTACACAGTTCATTCCGATCGCTGATGGCACGCCAGTGCTTCGAAAAAAAGAAAAAAACTATTGTTTACGTTGAGATATTACGGGTTGATGGTGTTCCATTTCGCCTTTGGGCTTTGCATAATTATAATATTACATAGTGGAGCTAGGCGGTAATCGTGTCACCGCGATGCGCAATTGAAATTACAATATAAAACTTTTCTTATTATATTATGGAACGACGATGGTAGCGACGGCTAATTCCGTTAGGTCATTGATATATGGGGCCGCTGTTGTTTCTTTTTGCTATACTAGAGTGCTATTCGCCTTTTATGAAAAGCTCGATAAGAAACAGCCGACTCTGGTGTTCTAGCTGATCATTACGTTTCTATGAAAATATGAAATTTCTACGAAAAATAATACCGGCAACGTTGTGGGAGGCGTGTCTGTCAATATTAGTTTCGAGATCTCCTTGTTCGGTAGTTATGACGATGACAATGGTTTTAATGAAACATATCAGGGCTTGTGGGGCCGGACAGGGCTTTTCGCTGCTGTAACAAATAAAAGCTTATTTTTTGAAAATTACTTTTTTCGAATCGTAGGAACAGTTTAATTTTCCTTCTCCTTTCGCTCCGAGAAAGTAGTTCCCTCTGACTCCCTGATCAGCGTATGGTGGCAGAGCAGTGACCCGTGTCGAAACAATGTCATTATTTTCGGTTGACGAAACTAATGGACGGTGAGCTGAATTAGATGCTGTTTGCGTGTTTACTGGCTCTAAACCGCCTCCTTCTTGAAACACATAGATTTGGCCGGATCACAAGCACGGATTCGGGCACAAGCGTTTCAAGCTGCGTTCAGGCTTTCCAAGTTATTAACGAACAGCGAATTCGTATAATTAGCTTGATACAATAGACTTTTACGAGTAACAGTGGGGCAGACGAAATATTCCGTTACTACTAGGCCTTAGGGACGCAATAGTTAAACCTCGAATGCGTCACCGGCCGAAAGGCTATTTGATATACGTACATTTTAGATCATGGTTAATTTCTATTTTTCTATATAGTAAATTTCCATCTACTCAATTGATAAAACTAAATGGATATTTTTTCGTCAGCTTTTAAGGCTTTGGGGATATTGCAGGGACTTGCTGTATATAAATTCGTTGAAAGATGTAGCTGTCTACCTCTATGCTTTCATATCATGTGGGAAGACATCTTTCCAAACGGTGATCGGCTTATATGATTACAGTTTAGCTGGGTACTGACGACTGATCTGATCAATAAGATTGCTTGATAGATCCGTCAAAATAAAGCACATAGCCGTAATAAGTCGTCGTGTGTGAATTACAACAATAAAGTTTTGATTAAAAACTATTCATAGGTTATTATGCGGCCATCCACATTTTGTCCAACTTTTTCGCAGTTATATTGTGTAACATAAGTTACCAGACAAACGACTTGAAAAAAATTCACTATGCCTCGCCTTGTGTAGTCATAATAATAATT